GTGCTTCCAGTAACAAACTGCAGTGTTGGCAGCTGCCAGTTTTGGGGCATGACAGAAACAAACACTTGTTCAGACAAAATTAATGTTCTGCTTCTTCTGTTCACAGACTGTCTTCTATGAACACTCTGTCAGGGAATCTTGATTTTAGCTGATAAACTGCTTCCTGAACCCTTTTGTTGAATTAATTTTGTTTGCATTGCTCAGCATTTCACTGGGTGAGGAACTGGCATGCAGATGTTGATTATGCTCCTCTTCTACAGCGAGTGTATCACGGAAAAAGATTTGAAGCTATGGAGGGCTGTAGCCTGAAATGCTCTACCAGGCACAGAGTACAGTCTGAAAGATGCTTTAGACTTTGATACAGGATGGAACTGTAACATGTTCTGTAGAATTATGCTGGGAAGCAAATGTTAAGTCTCTGATGCTGAAATGGTAAAAATGAACTCCATGCACAGTCCTTAACAGTGGAGAACAGAGGGTTGGAAAGAATAAATTGTCTTTAAACAAAGTTGAAGATAAGGCCTCTGTTGTGACTTTGCTACTCTGTGTTTTCCAGTAGGAGTTATTAGCTTCAGGGATGTGTTTCCTTGAGAGCTTAGAATCCCAGGAAAAGAGGCACCCATGGGAGCGTTATAATATTTTACATGGAAAAGGAGATGTGAAACAGAACTGGCAGAAGAAAGAATGAAGCAATCTAGCATTTATCTAATTGGCCCTTTAATTTTAGCCATTCTTTGATACTGCTGCTTGTGAGTATTGCTTGCTCAGTAGGTAATGAATTTCTTTCAGTCTCTGAGCACATGAAATCTCTGGGGTGGATGGAGAGCCAGGATAGAGAGCTGTGGGAGGTAACAAAGCAAAAACCCTCTTTGTTAGTAAATGCTGCTGTGCAAGGGGCAGCACCTCCAGATGAGAATTTTTTAGGTGGTCCAAAAACCTAAAAGTGAAAAAAAACAACCCTCTAATATCACTGTGTCAAATATATAGGTACATACTGTAATGATTATTTTTAGATGTTTCAGTGTGGAGGTTTAATATTTGAGGTTGGCAGCCGAGTATCTGGTCTGAATTGCAACTGGATCCCCACAAAATGTGTATTTGTGTTGAATGATCAGGGGGTTTTGTGCTCTAGCAGTTCAGTAGCTCTTGTTTTAACAAGTTTCTCATTTGCCTCACGGAAACTTCAAGGTTTGGATAGATAAAATAGTTACTGATTTCATCTTTATTACATTCAAGATCAGACCAAGAGGTGAGGCTGACTTTCTGCTACTTGTGACATATCTAAATTTTTCAGTGTGACATTGAATGGGGGTTACATTGGGACAGTATTCTCACTCCTCTTACAGGAAATGGTTAAAAAAGAATTTCTGCACATCTGAAAAACTAGTCAGAAGAGAAGAGTTTGTTGTTTTGTCTCGACTGCCTGATTGTCAATTAGGCTTTGGGCTGTCTGCTTTAAATATCAGAAGAGATGAGCTCCCTTTGTACAGGCAGAAGACAAAAAGTCTTGACTCTGCAAAAGCTGGTGAACTGATAGCAACTCAGCTTGTGGGTATTCTCTTCATAGCTTTTGTCTTGTAGCATGCAAAATTTAAATCAAAACTTGTGTTTTTGATAAGTAGTAATAATCTGTTTATTAGCTATAATGTCAGTGTATGTTTGTTATATCAAGTTTTGTTAATACATCAGTTGGGATTGTTTATCTTGTCTCAGTTTCAATTTTCTTTCTAGGAAATGCAGGATAATTGATGCTGTGGAACGAGACTGACATACAAAGTATTCAAAAGTCTGGAAATGCTGAATGTTATATATGCTGTGGCATTTTACTTTTTTTAAATTATTATAAATTTTTAATTTATATGTTTATGCTTATTGCTGAGTGAAATTCCTGGAGGTTGGGTTCCTGGGCTGAGGGGGCAGAGTTATTTGCTGGAAAATAGAGACTCCCAGCATAAAAACAGCCATTATTAGAGCACACATTTCGCCTGCTGTAAGACAGTTGGTATTGCATGGAAAAGCTTTCTGCAGAGGACAGTGAAGAATGAGCCAGTTCATTCTGCTCTACAAGAACCACCTTTGGTATGGTCCCTGTAGGACTTAGGTTTGCAGGGCTGCTGAACGGAGCAGCACTGTGAAAGGATGGGTTTCTGTCATGAAAATATTGTAGCTAACTGCACAAAATAATGTGTTCTCTGCCACAGGGAGCATACAGAGCCTGGCTGAAATGTAATTAATGTTCACTTTAATCTGTGATGTGTGCAAACAGGTGTTATTCAATATTTTCTTATGTACTTTTTGTAAAACACTCATGTAAATGTGTGTTAGGTTCTTACATCCAAGGGAGCAAATGTTCTTTTTAATGTTTGAATGAAACCTCTACATTCAAATGCTTTCACAAATCAGTTATGCAAGCTGTAAATTCTGTAATTCTAAATTGCTTTTGCTACAGCTAGTATTTAAGTGCAAAAATATTGAAAAGTATTGCAAAAGCAGTGTTTTTTCAAAGATTGCAAAGGAGGTAGGACTGCTTCACCAGTTCGGGTGCATTAATGCACATTGTAAGCTTTGCTCCTCTTGCCTCTTGTAAAAAAACTCCATGAGCTAACTTAAATTAGAGTATGCTATTTCAAAATGAAGAGATCTCCTTGTGCTAGTGAATCTACCAAATCCACATCCTTTCTCTGGGTGAAGCAGTGTTCTAGCTCCACAATGAATGATATAAGGGTGATATATTACCCTTGCCTTGGGTAATAGATCATCCTTAAACCTTAATGCAAATGTGAAGGTTTTTCTTTTAAGTGCTGTCAGAGTTCCTCCTAATAGTTTGGTGCCTTCAAAGCAAACCTCAGTAAGCAGAAATCCTAGAAGATTAAATTTAAGTGTCATGCCTCAGCATGGAGGCACTGTGGAAAAATAAATGCACTCTTGTTTAATCTGAACTTTGCCTTGATTTTTTTTCCAAACATTCTTTGAGGAACTCTGCTCCCTAATTTTCTTTTTGCCTCCTTCCTAATCTCAGAAGATAACTCTCCTATTTTAGTGGGGAAAAAACTGTTTCTGTAAACTGCTGGTTGTTTTGGGTCACAGTAATGAGGGAAATCAGCAACTTCAGAGACTTAGCTTTTCAACCATTGCTAGAAGTAACTAATAAAAATATTTTCAAGGTAACTTTTCTGTAATTTCATTACTCTTAAAAAGGAAAAAGATATTCAGTGTTATTCATGATGCATGTCATGCATTTTCTGCTGTGCTTTGGTCAGGACACAGTGCTCAATGCAGTTTCTTGACAAGCATAGAATGGAGGTACTTTGTAATTTGCAGTTGCTGGAGTTTGGGTAGTTTTTGTTAATTTATTTAAGAAAAGGTAAAACAAATAATTGTGTTAACAAATATCTCCTGAGCTACAAGCTAGTAGAAAGCTTTTATCTCAAAGCTTTCAAGGCTGCTTAAACAGTGGAGTTTAGTGGTGTTCTGGCAGCACAAGCTGAAGTTGTTGCATTGGAGGAAACTGATTTAGCTTGACTTTCCTCCTTTTCTTTCCCCAAGAGAGTGGTGTAACTGTCCTGCAGGGAATGTTTTTTGGAAGCGACACTGTTTGCTGGTTTTGTGCTTATTTATGTATGGGCTTGAAATGTTCAAGATGTTTGTTAAATTGTTAACCCAGGGAAGTGATGGTGATGTTGGATTGCATTTTTGGCAGTTTATGTATCTAAAGCTGAGTGGTATTTCATGTTGTGTGAGAAAGAGAATAGGGCAGTTCTGTGTCCTGGCAGGATTCCCTTTTTCAGACATCCAAGGCCATTCTGAGCCAAACAGTGGAGCTGTGAACTTCCAGAGGAAGCTCACAGCCTAAATGGTGCTTTCTTGTCACCTCATCCTGGGCAGGGTTAGGGTTTGCTGAAGGTTTTAGAGTCACTTTTGTATTTTGAGTGCTTTATATCCACTATTTTGAATTTCAGTTAAATTTTGAGTGTTTCCAAAGTTGAAAGATTCCCCAGGTTCCCTGGGCAGCTTGTTGCAGTGTTTCACCTTTGTTGTGATAAAAATGTCTCTAGTTCCCTAAAAATGTTATTTTTACTTTCTTTCTGTCTTATATATCAGAGAAATAGTCTAACATAATTAGAAAATAATTACAGGCATGACCATCTTTATATCACTTGAAATGTCAGCCAAAAGGTTTTATTTGAAAATACTGCTTATTACAGTACCTATTTATTATTAAGTATATATTTTTTTCTTTTAAAACATGCACAGTCTGTTAGGTTTGTATGAGGAAGAGCCTGCAATGTCTTATCTCTAATTTGCAACTTGGAAAAAGATCTTTTCTCTGTTGTGCTTTGCATAGTTGAATGGTTTTTAAAAGGGTTTTTAAAATAATAATTAATGTGGAAGGTTTGCAGTAGCCTGTTTAAATACAATGACATTCTTCTGTCTAACAGAAAATCCAAGTAAAATAAGGTTGCCCTTTCTTATGAGTACTCATTCTTGGAAAGTTTGTTTTTCTGTTCTCAGAGTATTTGGCTTTTGTACGTTCTATCTTCCAAGAGCATTTTCCCATATTCCAAGGTTTATTTAAATTACTGTTCAGAATGTTTGATGGTTTGATTTATTGAAAAAAGTGGGATATGCAGATTAACTTGATTTTATAGCAGAATGCTTGGTTTATAGCATTTATTCAAGATTAGGGTCACTTCTAGTAGAAGAATATAGTTTCTGTAAATCTGTGGTAAAAGCATGGGAGGTTTGCAGAAGCCCTTAACCTCTTGAACTTTCCCATGTCATCCTATGAACTCTGAATCTATGGCACTGTTCAAATCAGGAAGTGTTTAAAAATGAAAAGCCAAAACCCTAGGCTGCTAGATTTTGTATACAGAACATCTGGGGGTTTTGCAGTTTAACAATCATCCTAATCCTCATAACATAAGCAGGCTATTGTAAACACTCATTAGTTTATATAAAGTAGCATATGATTTCAGTAGTTTGTTTTCTTGTTATTTCAGCTTTATGACAAAATAAACACAAAATCTTCACCACAAATCAGGAATCCTCCAAGTGATGCTGTACAGAGAGCCAAAGAGGTAACGGCTTTAAAGTTTGGGGTTTTTTACTTTGAAAGGTTGCTTGTATTTAAACTGTAATTTACTTTTGTTCATTAAGATGTGTATTCTGGCTCATTATCTGAATTATTTCTGGAATATTACCATTGCTTACCCAAGTTATATAACAAGTTGCATAAACTTGCAGAATTCCATTATCTGTGTAAGGATTATGAATATTACTGTTTAATCATTTAACCTTTTCTTCAACAGTAGTGGTGTTAAAAGTTGCATAAACTTGCAGAATTCCATTATCTGTGTAAGGGTTATGAATATTACTCAGTTTAATCATTTAACGTTTTCTTCAACAGTAGTGGTGTTAGAAGGAACACTCCTGCTGGGTAATTGCAGTATCTTCCCTGTTCAAGTTATTTATCTGCACCAGAAATCTGATGTTTATAAAATTTAGTCACAAAAAGAAATATTTTGAAGTGTCAGCTTTTTTAATTGAAGAAAAAACCCAAGTTTATCATAGATGGGTCTAAGCAGAGCAGACTTGGAAATGCAATGAAGGTGGCCCTCTAAGACCAAAGATGGACACACATGTTCTTAATTCTCATACCTTGCAAATAGTATGTTATCTGCTTATTTATGGCAAGCAGTAAAAAACCCAAACCCATATTGTATTATGTATTATCAGTAAAAATGTGTGCAGTTGTTAAGGGTTACGTAATAGGAAAACTGTTTATTGTGCTATTAAAGGAGGAAGACTTTAACACTCTACTAAATAGTAATAGATTGCATCTATCTGTGTGACTTCAGTAATAACTAAAGTCACACTGATAGATGCCCTCAAGTCCTATTCTGCAAAATTTGCTGTCAGTTAATCCTGGGGGGTGCTTCCAGAAGCAAAATACTCTGCTTTTATTGTCCAGCTAGCTGCATGTGAAAATTAAGGTGTAATAATCAGGTTTCAGGCAAATGAGTTAAAGCTTCTTTACTCCTCCTTCCCCAGTGATAAAGAGGCTCAGATTTTATAAAATCTGGAGCTTGAAAGTGGGGTAGTAGATGGCCCACCTAGACTTGGTGTCTTTAACAATTGATTTTATGAGTGCTTTTAATTATGATTTTAAATAATTTGTTTTAATAAATTGAGACCATGTATGAAAACAGCGACTGTTGAAGGGATGCTGTCAGTTGAAAAAAATTCCTTCAAATTTCTGCTGTAATCTCTTTCAGAGAGAACATTGGAACAAGGTATTTTAGTCTCTTGGGGCAGCTGGGTAGGGGCACATTCTCTTCAACCCTTCCCTGTGTCACAAATGTTGATGTGTATAATCATTTGGGGGTATTCTGACTGAGCAGTGAGGGGTTTCATTTCTTCAATAGCTTTAAAAGAAAGTTACTATGGGACATTTCTCCTATTTATTTTGCAGGTATTGGAAGAAATTTCATGTTACCCAGAGAACAATGATGCAAAGGAGCTAAAGCGTATTTTAACACAACCTCATTTCATGGTAAGCAGATCCTACTCTTGTTTGGGGTTTTTTTTTTCTATTTTTTTTAATATATTCTTTATGTTAGAAAACTTCAGTAAATTCTTAAGATCTGCAGGGGTCGAACTCTATACAATACACCTATTGATAAGTGTTTCTAACCTGCTGCTCTGGCAAAAGAATTAGTATTGGTCCTCATTACTGTTGAAAACTGTAACAGTTTGGAGTAGTGTAATTATGGAGCAGTTACACTGTGGTTTTGGAGTCTGTGTTGCACATGGAAAGAAGAATGAACATTACTGTTGAAAACTGTAACAGTTTGGAGTAGTGTAATTATGGAGCAGTTGCACTGTGGTTTTGGAAGTCTGTGTTGCGCATGGAAAGAAGAATGACTCCATATGGATGTTCATAGACAGAGCTGGGATCCTCCTTTTTCTTTTTCTAGAGGTCTTCTTAGGATAAAGATGTGTGAATTCATTGCAAAATAAGGGTTCATTTAATATTATTTTACAACAAATCAGTAGTTTGTACAGTCTGTTGAGTTTGTGTTATCTATCAACACTTACTGTGTCTGTTTCCCAAATCTGATTTGAGAGCAATAATTGTCCTAAATTCAGGGATGTTACTGCTTTATAACTTGGTTCAAGTTGCTGAAGTCTACTAATTTGAAGGAATTTTTTTGTTTATGCTGTCGGTGAAGTTCATAAATTGAGAAATAAACATGTTTGCTTAAATCTGCTGTATGCTATTATCAGCTTAAAATCAAGAATTTGACTTTTCCCTACTCAGCTTCATTTGGAATCTGACAGGTTCATTTTATTTACTTTTTTGTGTGTGTAATTACCCCACAGTACTGCTAAAATGTGAAGCACTGTTGAGAAAGAGCATTTTAAAGTATAAATTATTTTCAGAGCAGGCATCAACAAAAGTGATTCTGGTATGTAGAAATTTCATATATCAAATCAAGTGACAGGAAAATTGAGTTGAAAATCCTCTTTTTTAGGTATCTCTATTCCCTGATATAAATCTAAAACCAATTGTCAGAATTCTTTTGCTACAAATTTATGAAAAGTATTTTTTCATAAGGAATAAGTTGCAATTTCATAGCAAGTACTTTTGATGAGGAGTAATTTCAACAAGAGAATCTGTGATATCCCAGGCTAAATTGCCAGTTGCTGAAGTCCCATTATCCTTTTTCCCCATCTTTCATCCTCTCCCTTGTGCTTCTGGCATTCATCTAGAACTGCACTTTAATGTTGCCCTCAGCTGAATTAGTAGAAAATTGCTCAAAAAAAAAAAAATCCCCAACTAACCATTTAGCAAAAAGAATTTGGGATAACAGGGATGCTGCCAGAGCCAGAATGAGCAGGGGAACAGAAACAGTTTGTGTTAGGGAGGAATGTAAAGCAGCAATCAAACCAGCATAAGTTGGTGTGGATCCACACCTGCAGACACCACGGTCTCCAGATGCCAAAGGAACAGCTCCATCCTCTCCATCATTCCCACTCCCGCTCCCAGATGCACCTTTATGGGTTGCAGACTTTAATAAAATTGTTCTTACATATGGTGCATTCTGCTAAACTTCCCTTCAGAGCAAAAGTCTTTATATTTTAAAGGAAACTATTAGGAAAAGGAATAATGGTATAAACCAGTATTGTTAACCCACACTCCGTGTGTTTGCCAGGTGTTGTGCAGAACAATATTCTGGTTATTAATGCACATTAATTCAGTAATCAATTAGGCATAGTAAGTAGGAGTGTGCATTAACACCATATGAGAATGGACTATTTTAGTATTTTTTAAATCTCATATGTATTACTAATCAGAAGAAAAAAGAGTATGACCTGTCTTGTTTACTCAACCACAGTGTTAGTGGGTTAAACTGTGTGCAGGCCTTCACAGAACCAAAGCCAATAAAGCGTGTTTGTAAAGATCTTCAAGGTGTTCTGTTCTAATTTTCTTTTGCCCTCGTGTGCCTTATGGCTGCAGAAATAAATTATCAATTTATTCTGTGCATCTTTAACATTTTAATTTAAAGAAATGTATGTAAATTTTGCATGAAGGTCTTTCAGTAGATAATTAATTTAAGAAGTCTTAAAGCATTGTCAGGTACCTTATTTGTTATGTATGTGCACATTTCAAAGAGCTTTTATTCCATTACATGACTTTCAGTAGTTTTAAATATGCCAGTTTCATGTGTAAAAGAATCTATTATATATGTTTAGTATGTTGTAGCAATTCAAATATTTGCTAGGAGACTTCTCCTTAATGACATATTGAGGTTTTATCCGTCATCATATGCCTTCCTGTGCTGTTCTCTGCAGTGATCCTGCAGTAGAGTAGAAAGCAGTTTTCTCATTAAACTAATTTTTATCAGGATTATCATGTTCTGCAAAGGAAAAACAGACAGGGAAAAAACACATTATCAAAATTAGCAGAAATGCCTGAAAACAGGCATCTTTCAGCAAGGTCCAACAGGAATATTTTTATTAAATATTTTCAATATTAAATTGAGTTTGATGTACTTCATTGTATTTCTGAAATAGTGTTCATTTTTGTGAACATATTTAGAAGTCATTTAGTATAATTACGGACCTTTAAAAACGCTGGAAGTGCCCTATTTTAACCTCCTACAGGGTGAATATTATTGGTAAAAATAATATAAATCAGGGCAAATATTTGATGTGATAAAAATGTAAGGATTACATGGATTACATAAGAAATGTAATATTAAAGTGTGGAGAGTGTAACAGATACAGGCAGGGGCACAGGAGCACCTCCAAGGTCATTGTGTCCAGCCATTAACCTACATTGGAGTACCCACACATAAATGGACACACAAATAAATCAAATTTTAAATATTGTGTGAGTGGTTTGACTTACTTATAGGGTACAGATCTCTAATACAAAATGTTGCTTCAGTAGAGCACACTAATGCAGAGGAATTATTGGGAGTGTGACCTTAGTGGCTGACAAAATAAGATGAGAAATAGGAAATGCAGATACAGGTTAGTATTTAACTAAAAATAGTATATATGTAAGTGGGCTTGAAACACTGGGAAAATGGGAGAGAATATGGGCAAAGCATTGTAAGTTTAGGGAATTTTGTTCCATCATTATAGTGTTGACTTCCCAACTATAGTTTCAAATTGTTTAGAGAAATGAGAACATAAAGTGTTTTAAGAAATTACATTTTATAACATGCTTGTAAGTTTAGGGAATTTTGTTCCATCATTATAGTGTTGACTTCCCAACTATTGTTTCGAATTGTTTAGAGAAATGAGAAGGTGTTTTAAGAAATTACCTTTTATAACATGGTATACTTTAGAAGGGCTAATGAAGCAGTATTTTAGCAGTTTGCTGGTTTGTACTCTTAATTTTTTTTAAGCATTTTGAACTCAGGGTGGTGGTGCTTGGTCCAAGTTCTAGGGGAAGGGCCCAGTATGGAAGCAATTATGATAGTAAAAAACAAAAAAAAAACAGTATTTTCTTCTTTCAGTCAGCATTGATCTACAGTCTGCCTTTATTAGAGGGAGATACCATGGGATCTGAGTAGCTTTCCATTTCACTAGAGTAATTATTATAGAATGGTTTGCACAGAAAGATTCCTGATTCTCTGTCTGCATGTGAAGATGGATTCACTCTCACCCTGGAGGTGTCAAGAGGATGAGGGGAAGGGAGGCAGCATCATTCTCATTGAAGTACCTACAGTCAACATCACATTAAGTCATGCAGGTTTTAGAGGCTCAGTGTGTGTAGGCATTTTCAGTCTGAAAGTTTTTCGCAGACTCCTTTAAGGGAAAAGTTCTTCACTAGGAAATGGGGCACAAATATCTTGGGTTTCCTTGAAAACTTCCAAAAAACCTTTACAAGGAGCAAGCAGGGGACATGGGAGATGATGGAAATGTGACTGTGGTAATTTTGATAATAACTGTATTAATCATGATACCTTTCAGTGTGTGCAAAGATTAATTAATAAAGCCATTTAGTCAAAAAGAAAGTGGGAAATGTTGGAATGTTAGGAGACAGAAGACAGATAATGGACTTTAGACCTGGTTAACATAAGAGATTTGATAGACAAAATGCCTTGGCAAAAGCAAATGGAACTTTAAAAATTAAATCTAGATAGCAAGAAGACTTAATCAGAAAAGTTTATGAGAAAAAGAAAATCCTATTAAACTCTGAAAGCAAGAGATGTTGTTATATGCATAAGTTTGTGTATGTGATTTTAACCTAATCATTGCAGTAGACATTTCTAGTCTCCCTGAAATAATATATAAGCGTTTGTAACCCACAATAAAACCAGATTCTGATCACTGAGTCAGTCCCCCAGTCTCTCTCCATCGCCAACATGACATCTTGTGCTGTCCTGCAGGCCTTACTTCAAACTCATGATGTAGTGGCACATGAAGTTTACAGTGACGAAGCGCTGAGGGTCACCCCTCCTCCCACCTCTCCCTACCTGAACGGAGATTCCCCGGAGAGCGCCAACGGCGACATGGACATGGAGAACGTCACACGGGTCCGCCTGGTGCAGTTCCAGAAGAACACAGATGAGCCCATGGTATGGGGGGAAGCTCACTGTTTCCCTCTGTGCTGGTAAAGACCAGTGTTGTGATGGTTTTAGTGTCATTTCCTCACTTTGAGGTGGGGTTGTCGATTAACTGGAATGGTTCAGCAGCCACTGTAGATGTCTATCCTTCTTGAAATGCTTTGTGTGCCACTAGGGCTGGGTTTGTTTAAAATCAACCTTGTAGTAGTTACACCAAATTATTCCTTAAACCCAACTGGAGCCTTTGCACTTCAGTATAAAATCAATTAACAAACCAGATCTTTGTATACTCACATGTTGAAGTATTGCATCCTCACTTATATCTTATTACTCATCTTAAAATGAGTGACAAAGATTTTATTTAAATCCTAAAATTTATACCCTGCCTTCAGGCTTTCAGGAAACATGACTGTTCTTAACCACTCAAGAATCACAGTGCTTAATATTTTATTTTAAAAGTATAAACGTTCCTTTTTTCTAGGGAATCACTTTAAAAATGAATGAGCTGAACCACTGCATTGTGGCAAGAATTATGCACGGAGGAATGATTCACCGGCAAGGTAATCACATCTCATGAAGAGTTTTGTCTTCAAACACAGTTATTTTAGATCCTTTTGTACAAACTGTGTACATTCTCCTGATTTTGATTGCTACTATTCCATAGCAGTGTCTCTCTGTGCCTGCATGGATTCCTTCTAACTGCTTTAGTTACCTTCCAGTTGCAGATGTCTGCCAGTTTTGAGGTGAAGACCCATTGTGTTTCATTTAGGTCTTAATTAGGATAATTACTGTCTTACTACTGAGTATAGCTCAGCAAGAGATGGGAACACCAATAATTTTGGAGCTGTACTCACTTAATCCTCTGTTAAAAAAAAAATCCTTACACAAGTAGCAGTACATTCCCTTGCAAAAATGAAAGAGCTTTGTCCACACAGTTCTTGAGGATCTTTATATTTTTGGTGTTGAGAATCACAAAAATGGGGTTTGAAATAAAAGTATTACTTGTGCCTAGATGCTAAGTCTTTATTTTCAGTTTTCACTACCATAAGAAATCCTGCAAACATGCTTTTTTTTTCTCATCCACAATCTTCTTTTTGTCATTTTGTGTGTTCAGATCAGATGTCCAGAAGTAACTGGGTTTTGTCCTGCTTTAAACAGATGAACTTCCCTACTAGGTTGTTGGCTGCAAGTTTGAATTGCAGCCGTGAAAGAGTTACTTTAGTTTTTTCAGACTGCTGTCTTTTTCTTGTGATGAAAAATTTTCTTAATTTTTCAGACCAGGGTTCCCTCTAGTCTACTGTTCTGTTTCAAAGGAAGCTAGGAACAGGTAATTGGGAAGACAAAACATATTCACTTTGTCTCACTGATATGGTAAAATCTGCCAGGAATCAGGAAAGACAAAAGTTTTAATACAAGCAAAGGTGGCAGTTCAGAGAGAATTCTGTATGTCTTTGGAGGACCTTCTGAATTGAAATTTATTTGGCTTCTGAAAGTGAGTTTTTAAAGGAGATTGCTCTAAGCTTCACAGGAGCAAGGTTTTCTTCCAGCTGTGCTTAGGTAGTGGTGATACCCTGCACAGTATTGCTTCACATGACTGTGTTCATACTGGGGCTAATAAAACTTTTAAAACTTATTACAACTGGGTAAAACATCCAATTGTGCCTATTAAAACTCTGCTTTTTTTTTTGCTTTTTTTTTTTCTTTTGCTTTTTGTTTTAATTATACAGTGTCTTTTATGTCTAAAGATTTGGGAAATTTAATCTGTTCTCTATGTGCTTCATCTAGCTAAGGTAGTGCTTCTGTACTAGGTATAGTTTGAAAAGGAGCTTTACTTCTGTGTTTCTGTAGTATGATCATCTGTTTTTTAATGTTTCTAATTCTGTTAGTGCTCTAGATGCCTCTTAGCTTCACTGCTTCATTCATCATACCTGTATTTAGAATATTCTTACTGAATAGAACAACACAAGTGTAATTTGACAGTGATCTCAAGCACCATCTTTGAATCCTATTGATAGGGCCTGTGCCTTGAATTGGTTTTGGGGAGCGTTAGGTCATTTTTCTCTGCTGTCTCTATTTGCTGTGTGGAAAACTGCCAGGCAATATCAGCAGTGTCTGGATAATAAATCTGCTGTGAGGGTTACAGGAACTGTATAATTTCAGGTCCAGCAATATTAAACACAAACTGTGCAATTCTCGTTCACAAAATTGTAGCTGCTGTGAAGCTGTCTCCTGTCTCTAGGCCAGCTCTGTCTAGTCCTGGTGATTGAAATTGTTCTTATTCCAAAGGTGGCAGAGTTGAAATGGGAAGAAAGGCTTTTAAAGATTCCACCTACTCACACCTTCCAGAGAATTCAGTAAAAATGAAACCAGTGTCAGTCATTAGAAATTGTCTGTTTGTTGTTGACATGTCTGCCAAATGTCCATTCTTTATTCCCAGTTTTTATGTATACTTCTCCTTACAGTCATGAACATAACAACATTCACTTCTGTCAGAGTGACAGAAATGGGAAATGATGCAGAAAAGGGGATTTTATTTGACACAGCGATGTTACTGAATCTGATTCTCAGTCTAATATGTGATTCCATCCATGTTTTGAATAATATGAGAGAATCTTTATACTATTCCAAGCCATGTGGTGTTTTTGATTCAATATTATTGTTTAGTAGCAAAAACGTGGTTTTCCTGTTTACTGAGAAGATGCCTGGGCATCTCTTGCTGTGTGTTCACTGCACTCTGAAAGACAGATTTGTAGCTAATACGAAGTCCTTTTCTGAATCCAGCAAAAAATTATTTTAATGTTGTTTTCTGTTTATACCTCTGTATGAATAATAGCGCTGTGTTATAATTATTCAGTTTGTAGAAACTGAGGTGATTGTGTGTTTGTTAACCCTGCAGGTACGCTACATGTAGGAGATGAAATCAGAGAAATAAATGGAATCAGTGTGGCAAATCAAACTGTAGAACAACTACAAAAAATGCTTGTAAGTGCCTGGAATCTTCCTCATGTCCTCTATAAAAGTGCCTGTCTTATTTAGACAAAGCTTTTGTGTAATTGTGTACCAACTTCCCCTTTCTCTTGTGTTCTTGATAGGCTACATGTCCATGTTTTCTTGTGTTCTTGATAAGCTGCATGTCCATGCAACAAAAAGTTCTTTCAGTTTGTAACAGTTGGGCTCACAATTGCTGAAGTTAAAAATTTAAAAAGCATTACTTTGAGCTCAGTCTGTCTTTTTCCAGGAAAACTCCACCTTTGACCTTGCTAGTAGAGTCTGTTTGATACTTCCATAACACTTGTTAATTTTTCTGCATGCAGCACTAACCTTGACATCTTGGATGGTATCTCTAATCCTAGACAAGCTTCAAGGGAAATAGAATTTTTTTGGGCGTCACATAAGCCAGCCAAAGAGAGAAAGGGGAGAAACTGAGATCTCTTGGAGTGATCTGCTCACATTTCTGTCGAGATCGAGTCCTGCAGTTGTCAGCCACGTGGTATTCACGAGTATTCAGATTGCCATTTAAGAAAATATGTTGTCACAATCTGCTGCTACTCTGGAGTTACTACTTGTTATAAATATTCTTATACAATAGTAAAGCCAAGTGGCAGACCCCCATGTTCTGTTTTGATAAAAGACTGTTTTTGAAATTACTACGTTCAGGACAGTAAAATGCAGTTTTCCAGAAAATGAATACGGCTCTGCTATTTAACATGTATTATGAAGGGGAAGAAAATGCCAGTTTGGTAGAAAAGACTTTAGATTACAAGAATATGGCTACAAAGAAAAGGTTAACATGGAAGAAACCTACCCATCTCTGAATCCCTCACAAAAAAATAGAATTCTGGATTCTAGGCATTCAAAACCTGGTCAGGTGAACAAACTGGTAATGCATGTTCATCCTTTAGATTAATGAGGACAATATGAATGTTTGTTTATGGGAGATCTGACAACTTCTCCATAGCATTTTAGCTTTTCATACTTGGACTATGATGTTTTCCTTTGTAGCATTAACAATTTGGAGGTTTTCTCTTCAGTTAGTCTCAAAATGCTTCTTTTTTCACAGAGGGAAATGCGTGGAAGTATTACCTTCAAGATTGTGCCAAGTTATCGCACGCAATCTTCATCCTGTGAGGTAATGAACTTAATGAGCCATCCCCTTTCTTCCTCAGTCCTGTAACTAACTGCCTGCTGATGGCTGAATGTTCCTGCTTTCTGGGAAATTGTTTCTGCCTGTCCTGTTAGATCGCACACCAATTTTACAACAAAGATAACGGAACACGAGTAGGTCCCACCTACCTACTCAGCCCTGCCTTCATATTCATCTCATCAGCACCTTAACTAACTCTTTACAGCCTATTAAAGAAAAAAAATAGGAAAGGGCATCCTCAACTTATGCATTTAGGAAGCCCCTTTAAAATATGACCATTTAAACTCATACTTCAGTAAGTCCATTAAAGTTCCTAAGCTGAGGAGCGATCCTCCTCTTTTTTAGGCTTTAAACATTATATTGCTGCTTTGGGCTGTTAAGGGTTAATTGAAAAACCTGTTTCTGTATAACCCTGTTGAGGTAAATTTGTGGTGGTCGTGTGTAACAGTTACATGTGGCTTAATATTACGTTTCCATGAAAAAATGGTCTTTGTCACTACCTAAGTAAAACAGATTTCGAGTTGTTGCTGAACTAGAAACTTTGTACTAGAGCTTTTGCACAGCAACGTTTAATTCCCTTCTGCTCACAAAGTTCCATTCCAGATTGCAGCTGAAGGGAATTAAATTGTCTAAAATGGCTACTTGAGAGCCCCTGTTCAGTGGGAGCACACAGATGGCATTTGCAGCGTGTGGCTGGTGCCAATCTCGGAGCCACACGCTTTACTGCGCAAGCAGCTCCCGAATTAGAACTCCCCGAGTGAAATCACAACCCCTGCTGAAGTCAAGCACCTTATCTTAATTAGAGCTGTGATTTCACCCTAATTGTTCTTATGGCTCAGCAAATGCTAGAATACACAGAAACTGCTGTTGTGGTTGTCAGAACAATCTGTTTTGCAAGGAAAAAAATTACTGCTTTTTGGTTGCCTTCGGTTCTTCTAGTAGAATTCAACAAAAACTAAAAGAGGTAGAGTTTTAGAGGTAGAAGGTTTGACAGATTTTCACCTATGGGGCCAATTTTCTTGAAATAAATATGAAACCGAAAGTTTTTCATGAAAGGCAAAGGCTGTTAAAAAAATTGCAGTGTGCTGACAAATTCATGTATTGACTTCTGTGCTGCAAAGAGGAGTAATAATAAAAGATACCTCACTTCTCAATAATGAAATACAGAAACTGGTGAAACTGCAGATTTGCTGAGAATGTGATTATTTGGAAAGACTCAGCATACAGCTTTAAATTAGTACTATTGGTTGTCATTTTAGTAATAGCAGATAATCTCTTTTCTTTAGCTTTTTCTTTTAGGCTTTTCATGACTATTTATTTATTTCACAGAAGAATGGAAAATTTACCTTCCTTTGGAAAAAAATGGCTAAACTAGAAACATGTGATCAAAGAGAAAAAGAAATCATGTCTAATTATCCCACTTTGTAGCATTTAGCATTCATTAAGTCAGAGATGGATGAGTCCTTTCCACCTGCTCAGCCACACTGAGGCTTTGGCTTGATTCTCATCAGTGACAGGTGTACACAAAAGCCCCAGTGTTCTTAAATCATCCCGTTAAAGCATCACTAGTCCTTTGGTACAAAGAGAATTTTTTTCACAGAATTTTTCAGGAAGGTGATTCAGAAAATGAATCAAATCTTTAACCATTGAAAATGGCTAAAAAACAATGTTGACTGACAGTACTAACACAGAAATCTTGCTTCTCGTGCCCTCCAGCAGGATAAATAGAGAGATATTGGTGGTTCACTAATATAATCTTCCTAGTTAAGGTATTTTTTTGGCAACATTCAGTCTGTGTTTGGTTTCCCCCCTCCTTCCTTCATGGACTGGTGCTCATGTAGTGTAGTTTTATGAGAAGAGGAATATAAAACAGAATTGAGGACTGGGGCTTTGAGGCTCCTACCAGGATCACGTCATTGGATTGCAAAACATCTTGTTAATCTTGAATAAGAAAGAAAACACTACATATTAGTAGAATCAGAGATGATATGCATTTTATTTACAATCTTAGGCCTTCACAAAAGTGAGAGGGGCATGGAATATTTCTTTTTTAATAACTGGGATTCAAATTTCACTTGCCATATTTGTCTTATTTTATAGTCATTTAAAATAAATGTTATTTTCTAAGTATTAAGCCATTTCTGCATATTTATAGGGAAGTCTTTTTCCTACACTATGTAATTGAGAGTTGCTAGGCAGTTTGCAAAATCTCAGGGTTTTTTAGGCATTTATGGCTTTTCCTGCACCCATGCCTTCAGTTCAGTCACCAGACATTCTATTTCATGGAGCTCCCCTTGGTTGAAGACATAATAATTTTGAATTCACTTGTGTAAAAATTGGATCAGCTGATGTGGTGTGAGGTGACCTATTTAGTCACTGGCATGGCAAATAATCTGAGTTAACACACATATTTAGATAGCAAGGGGCCAGGGTGTTGTTTTCTTCATCAGATAGCAGAAAAACAGCAGATTTACATAAACATGAACTTAAGTAACTATTGCAACACATCCTTCTTATGGCTGATGGCTGTGGACACTGTCTATGTGTTTCAGTTTTATCCCAGTGAGTAAGCATTATGCTCTGGCTACATTTGCATTCTTACTTTGTGCTGACACAAGACCCAAAGTAACTTTTTGTAGTGTCAGATATGAAAGAATGGTAAGAGAAGTATTTTTTCTTTCTCTTTTTTTTTTTTTTTTCTTTAAACAAAAACAACAAAAAAATCCTTATAAACATTCTTTATGTTTCAGGTTGCCTTTTTGAAACTCTTAAGTTGTTTCATTAAGAAGAAAAGCCTCTGTACATGGGAGATTTTAAAAGCCTGGTGGTAATCACCATGGATTTTTTCCTTTATCTTCCATGGTTTCCATTAGTGCTCAAGCATCAGGAGTTTTTATTGTCTTAAACCTTTTTTAAATTTGTATTAAAGATTCTGACAGATGTGTTCTTTGAGCAAGACAGAAATGTTAAAGTATTTCCAGAATTTTGGAAAGTCTGTCTGTTTTTCTTGGAGCTGTTGGTTTTTTTGTCTGAGTTTCTTTTTTTATATCTGGCAACAATGTCATTGATCCACCCGTTTTTGTCAGTATCTAATTTGATCAGGTCATATTTATTAGACATCATTTAGTTCTTCTATATAGGTTTGCATCTCAAATACGTTAGTTTATCATTCATAAACCACACCTAAAAATAGGGAATCAGCAGGAATCTGGGTTTGCCATCATTTGGAAATAATTGTGGTTGTTTCCTCTAAGGCTCTGGCTCTCTGGCTCTTCAGCTGAATAGTGATGACCCCAAAGGTTTCTGTGCTTTTTGTCTTGGGGCTGGAGAAGGCTGGGAAGTCCAGACAGTCAAGTTTACTAAAATATAATTATAATAACCTTTCTACATTACTCAGAATCATTGGATCCTCCAAGTGTTTTTCTGCCCCTATTCCCAGGAAAAGTAGGGCTTCTGCTGATTTACTGGAGAAACAAACTCACAACCAAAACTGAATTTTTCCAGGCCAGTCCTAAGCAGTCTTGTTATTCTGCAAGGATCTCTGTGCTCATTGATTTGTCTCATTAGATTGTCCATAATACAGTTTTTCGCCTAACTTTTGAGTCTGCTATTTTTTTGAAAGGAAGACCTGTCCCTAGAAAGTTAAGAATCTAAATCCCTTTGAAATTCAAATCTTTGAATCCCTTTGAAAATCCCTTAGACAGAGCAGCCTAATTATGTAAAAGTCATACATAAAAAAATGTCTCTTGACTAACTTGTTAGATTATTTCTGACAGTACTGAAATCACCAATAGCACTGAAAATGTATATTTTCCTCAGTATGTGATGATGAACATTTGCTTTGAATAATATGCTGTCTTGTGTTGGGAATTGTTGGAGGAATACAAATCAAAACATTCTCAAACCAAGAAAATTTCCTTCAAAGGCAGAATCCTTCAAGACAGTCCAGAAATAGTGGCATTCTCTAAACTTGTTTTTCTCCAAATGATTTGGGTGCTTGCATCAGTTTCCAAAGCTCTCCCTTGCTAAACCATCACTGACAACAGATCATAACAAACCATATTAAAAAAAAAAAAAAATTTAAAATTTATTTAATTTATTTTTCACCTCTTGAAAGTGAGAAAATAGCAGAGGCAGAATTGCAGACCAAGCAGAAAATCACTTTATAAAGCAAGGAAGTTACTACCTTTTTGAAAAAAGTTCTTATGGTTACAATTTGATAAAGGTAATGCTGATAATCCATACACAAAAGAGAAAAAAAAGGAATACTGATTCCTTTAGGTTTTTCTTTTTTTTTTTTTTCTTTTGTACATTTAAATATTTTTTCAGTAATGAATGGTATATTTGCTCTCATTTGAATATTTTAAACTTGTGGTGGAGTGATTTTGTAATTAGAATTAGGGCTGATTTCCCCCACTCCATTACACATTGCAAGTGCTTGTAGGAGGCAAGTTTTGTTCTTATATATGTGGCATTAATCCCTGATTAGTGTTGCATGAACAGTTTAGCTCCAGGTTTTTAATTATTCACAAAATAATGGTATTAATAAAATATGACAGGGTTAACTTTATTTGCTTAGAAAACTGTTTTAGCCCTTTCTCTCTGCTGTCCTTGATGTTACACAAAATGACCAGACATTCCTAAGCTGACCTTTGACATGGAATATTATATTCCAGAATTCCTGTGAGGGTAAAAAGGATCTTTTTCTTTTATTTTTAACAATATATGAGTAGATTATTTTATTTTTAGAAGAGATGGCTCAATTATCTGACCTCATGGAATTAAGCACAATGCAGTCAAAATGGCATGTGAAAAAGATGGCTCTGAAAAACCCAAGCAGAAATCCCTGTTATCCTTCCTGTAGAATTTCCCAGTGTGCTCCCTGTGTCTGCTGTCTCTGCTCTGAAGTGTGGGGCCACGCTGGTAGTCTGGGTCAAGGGAATTGGCTTATTTAAAGTGCTGTATTTTGGAAAGGTTTGCTACTTTCAAGCCCAACAGAATGTTGGAGGAAAACCTTCATTGTGCTGTAAAACGGATGAGAAGGGAGGAGAGAGCATCCAGCTTTCTCCTCAGGTCCCAGTGTCTGTGAGACACTGCAGGGAGATGCATCTTGATGAGTAGAGACTGACAACTACCACAAAGCTGAAAAAATATTCAGAAACATCTTTAAAACAGTATATGGGCCTCATTCTATTCCAAGTACTATTCAGGGCATAACTTCCAGGTATTTAACCAAGACTGGTGTGTGACTGAGGGCTGGTAGCGTTGTCAGCCATGTGAGATCTCTGAAGTCCCAGTTATTAAAAAGCTGAAGGCAACATAAAAATAGTTATTACTTCAGATAAATCAAAATGTCAAACCTGAATCCTAAGCTATGGAAAAGCTTTTCAGCTTTACAGTTTGTAGTGTGGAAGCTTTCACAAATGAAGCAGCTAAGCAAATGATTATAAGGCTGTGGATGTAACTGTTCTTTGAAATATTTCTGTGTTCCTGTGCTAGTGTTGTGTTGTTAATGAACCTTGTGTCTTATTTCAGAGAGATTCCCCCTCTACATCCAGACAGTCCCCCGCTAATGGTCATAGCAGCACTAACAATTCTGTTTCGGTAAGATTTCCAGTTCCACACAGAGAAAGTGTGAAAGTTTTGTTGGTGCTCATCTGCCATTACTGTTCTACTTATCGTGTGGTCAGTGGAAAATTTTGTCCTGCTGAGAGAACCCAGGTTATTGCATATGTAACTCCCCATTTTCTTTTCTTTTTTTTTTTTTTAAAGGGCTTTTTCGAACATGTTCTTCTCATTAAAAGCCATGCAGTGAATTAAATGTTAATAACTGTACTGTGACACTTCAGTCATCCTTAAATCATTGTCAGCACTTTCCTCAAAACTGAGCAGAGGTTTAAAGTGGAAGCTTTTATTTCCATCCTGAACTTTGGAAGCAGAGTTTGAAGGAAGAGTGTAACTGTGCAGTTGATATCCCAAGACATTTTAGATCCTTTTTTTTTTTTAAGTTTTGTGTTTGAGAGCCCTCTGGAGCGTGTACTGGTTTCCGCTATCTGAGTTAAGGAATTGGTGTGCTCTCTGCTGTCGTGGTACGTGCACATACTGTGTGAAACATGAGCCTTGCCTGGGTATGGAAAGCAAAAGGAAGTGGCTTTAAACTGCACTACAAACCAAGCTATTCCCATCACATCTTTAACACAAAGTACTTCTGTTTTGTATGTATTCAGGTAGAAAGGTGCTGTCAATCTCCTGTTCTTCCTAAAGTACATTGATGTTAAAATTCGTGTTGTTTCTCATTTGTTGTTGTTTGGACCAATGTAGTAACTACACACAAGTTTCTTCAGTGAGTGCTGTCAATATCATGAGTTCATGGGACTAGCTAAAAACAAACCAAAAAAAACCCAAAACCAAGTAACTATTTCTTTAACTATTGATAAAAATTGCAACTTATACGTTATTTGTCACAAGGTAAAGTGCTTATTAATTAGTAGAATGAAAAACAATTGCATGAATGAAAAAATTAGGACATTTTTGTGAATTAAATTAAATTTATATCATGAAAGTAGTTATAATCTTAATTCTCAGCACAACTGATCACATTATACATTTTTAATAGTAGGTTTTTTAGCATTTATAATAGCCTCTCTTTTAAAAGCAAAACTTGATACTTAAATGGAAAAGGCATTCACATAAAGAGCCTCTTTCACTTGGTGGTGCTTTTGTGTTGAAGATGCTGAATTATTTATTAAAAAGCACATTCTCTATCTGCTTAAACTTTTTACCTGCTTTCTTCAGCTTGCTGCTAAACAGCCTGGGTTTGATTTTTCTTTAAGAAAAAAGTTATTTCTAAACATGGGTCAATGCTTTATACTTTTGTCTAACTTACCATTTTACTGTAATGTAGTATGAATCACTAACAAAGAGTGTTATGTACCCTTAAAAAGTAAAATGAAAATTTCTTCTCCTGGGTTGACTTTATTCTGCAGGACTTGCCATCGACAACACAACCAAAAGGACGACAGGTGAATAGATATCCTCCATGGGAATTTTTGTAAACTTAGCTGCTAGCAAACATCCCTGCTTACCTTTTCCCCACTCATATTCTGTATGTGCTGGACTAAAACATTTAAGCTTGGAAAATGTGTTCCATTTGTTTTCATTTTTCTTTTAACTCATTTGTTTGTAGCTAATTCAAAATAGCTTTTTTTTTTCATGTGTCCACATGTGTGAGAGTTACAACTTCACTAAGAATTTAACTGGAGATGTTGATTTAGTTCAGAATGCATTAATAGACTTCCTGTTGTGCAATGACCTGTTCAGGTTTTAATCTTAGAGGAAAGCTCAAATTTCTATTTTAGCTGGAATGGAGACAAGCAGGGCAAGTGTCTAAAACTCTAAAATATTGTGCTGACAAAAGTCATAAAGCTTGAGTTTATCTGAAACTAATTATTAACATTAACAAAGTTTTTCAAAGAAAAACATTAAGGATAGTTTCTGTTAAGGCTTGATAAATCTGAAAATGGTCTCTTAAAATTCCAGTCCTTAGTCCCATTTTCAATGACCTCCCTTTACTTTGGTATCTTGACCTGGTGGTTGTGTGAGTCAGCACAGACCAAAGAAAGATCTTCCCTCTACAGAAAATTCCAAGAAAGCACATGGGGCTCCTCAGAGGATTCCCTGTCTTTCTTTTTGCAATTTTAAGATTTTTTTTGTTTTTTCTGCAGCCTCCAAATGAGCACATACCATCAAGTGATTTGTGATTCATCTCTAGTAACTGCTCCAGTTATTTATAGTCTTTCCAGAATCTACCTCTGAATTTTTAACTGTGTACTCAGCCTCCTTCTCTGCCAGGAGTTTTTAGAATAGCTCTTGCACTTCCATTCAAGAAGTCAATCAGCTGCATTAACTCTTGTCTCTGAGAATCTTTTTACACTGCTGTCTGGTTGAGTTGGCTGGCACTTCTATTACAAGAATGGTTTGCTCTTACTTCACTTCCCATTTTTAAAGCTCTCTATGGTTCTTTCAACTTTCCATTTTCTTCTGAAGCTGCCTGAATGCAAACCTGGACAGGCTCCATGAAACACCTTCCAGATATTTATATTAGGTTTTCATTTGCTCCTCATAGGGTTTTTTCCCCCAGAAGAAGAAACTTTGTTTAAGGCAATATCAAAAAAATTGGGTTTCTCTCACACCATTTATAATTACATTATTTTTTCAATTTTTACCTGATTTTTCCCATTGAACCAGCTTATTTTTCTTGTCATCCTTGAAAACAGTGAGAGCTTGGCTAATAGATAAATTTTTATGTGTAAGGAAGTTTGTAGTGTTCCATGAGCTGCTAGTATATGGTGAATAATGGCTCAGACTGGAGCAGGGACTTGAAAAGCAGGGAAGTTTCTAGATAATAAAAATACTGCTGATGTTTTTAGACCTGTATGAATAAGCTTCAGGCAAAATAAGGGATTGGCTCAATATTGATTATGTCATGGAAAACAAATTACTAAATAAACATAATTGGTTTCAAAATATCATATTCCTCAAGTAATTAAAATAAATTGGGTTGCTTTTTTAAACTCAATGCACAGCAGAGCAAGGGTCACATTTAATGTATTGAAAGTTGAGTTCTCTATTGGTCTTCTCATCTGATGCTCTCACTTTATTGCAAACCAATAAAAATACATCAGATACAAGATAGAAGTGATTAGCCATTTTAAGTTAATTTATTCATGTGTTGAGGTTCAGATTGGGTTACTTTTTAAGTGCCATGAATAGTGCTAACATTACACAGTTACAGCTATTACTGGAGCAGAATTTGAGCAGAGTTGAAATGTGATTGTTACAGTTTCTAAGAATATTACTTTGCAATGTAATTGTTGGGGATTTTTAACTCTAGTCAATTTTTAGTAAGAAAATCAGCAGTATGTGTATACAAGGCTGGCTGAGATGCTGCAGGGTGATGTTGGAAGTTCATGAACTGTAGAAATTACCCATCTAAGGCATGACACTCAGTTTTGATTTTAAAATCATTGGGTGCATAAGGGCTCCAGTTAGCAACCAAAACTGGGTGTCACTTTTATTTTTATTTTTGAGGGTTGAGATCTCAGTAACACACAAGGAAAGGATTGGTATAATCTTTTAAATTGTCAAGTCAGTGTCTGGATTCTTTCCATTCATGTTCTTTAGAGAATAACTTGCTCAAATCATTAGTTTTATTTACACTGGAGCAGAGTTTTTTTACTGAAAAACCCATACGGGGAATTTCCACATTCCTCCTGAGTAACTCTGTGATAGGTACAATCCAGGACTTCCTAAAAAAGCTTTTTTTAGTGTCTTAAAACTTCTCATTTTAAAGATCACTAATGAAGCCAAAGTCCTTTATAGTGTCCAGTAAAATTTCCTGTCACAGAAATTTTTAAAACATACCATGGGACTTCAGTTGGAAAATGCATTACAGATTGAGTTGTAAGGTGCTGGCTTGTGAATGATTTGTGATAGTTAATAATTGTTTGAGGTACTCCATGAGTTTATTACATTTTTGTTGTTCAGGTTCTATAGAATGTAGAAAATATGAGCTTTTGAAATAGCATCATGTGTCTCCATCATTTGCTGGAGGGGGCATTTTCATTTTCAACTATCACTTATGCTTTGGCACCTTCCTCTTTTGTTTCTTTCTTTGCTTGTTGCAACCAATATGTGTAGCTGCATTCACAGATCAGATTTTCACCTGTTACTCTGAATGGCAGTGATGATACTGCAGTGTCTCTTATAAACTCTTTTTCTTTCTAGATCTATGTAAGAGCACAATTTGAATATGATCCAGCAAAGGATGACCTCATTCCTTGCAAAGAAGCTGGCATCAGATTCCGAGTTGGTGATATTATCCAAATCATTAGCAAAGATGATCATAACTGGTGGCAGGGTAAACTTGAGAACTCCAAAAATGGTACTGCAGGTCTTATTCCTTCTCCTGAACTTCAGGAATGGTATGACTTAAGTTTTCTATAAAAATGAAAGTTTTTTCTATAAAAATAAAATTTGGTTTTGATTTTATTTCTGTCATACTTTTCATTGTTGTATAGCTAGCCTTTGAATTATTTTCTCTTTTTCTTCCTTTTTTTTTTTTTTCTCTAAGTCTATATATTGACTCAATTTGTGTGGTATTAATTTTTTTCTCATGTATGCATAGCAGTAAGACTTACCTGCAATTTCATATGTGTGATTACATTTAAAAAAATTAATTCCTGTGTTAATAAACATTATGCTTTCTCGTATACTGTAGGAAACTAGGATTGAAGATGGCTACATGCAAATTGTTTATATAAGAGGGTCAAATTAATTTCTCTTTCAGCTTCTAATCAGGGGTTTCATTAGTACTGTTTACATGCAAGTGCTGCAGGAATAGGGTTTTAGCAAGTTGTCAAGCAAAAAGGTCATTGAGGGAGTTTTAGGATTTTCTTTTCTTTTCATTTTTCATATTAATGTCAAAAAGCAGAACAAAATCACAGTGCCAGTGGCAGGTTCAGTGAACAGTAGTGGCACTGAACAATGCAGAGCCTTTAAACAGCCTCTTGCAGGAGCTGTTTAGAAAAAATTTTAAATATATCAGCACAAATTGTGGCAAGTGAGTCCTGGGCCTTGGAAAGTGTGGCCATAGCTCAGTAAAGTTTAGACAATTTAGCACAAAATTATCTAAATTTAGATAATACTTCATTCAGGAGTCGTTACGTAAAAGAGCTGGAGTTGTGCGCTGCTCCTGTGCTGGCTCAGGGAGATTTTGGCAGAAGAGACAGAGGCAGACATGACCTTTAGTTCCATCTCCTGAACTCTGTGCCAGCCCTGATGTGAGGGAGGCACAGTCCACATTGCAGCAGGGTTCCTTGCAGTGCTTCACCCTAGAGATCAGCTTCCAGACACTGCCCCAGCACAGCACCACTTGCTCTGCAGTAATTTAGACCATGGTGGGTGTTCCAGAGCTTGTGCTCTTCTCTTCTGATCTGCTACAGAGTGGTCTGGATTCATTCCAGCAGCTGCCCTTCCTCCCATGCTCACTTCATCTGTCAGCTTCCATCACCTACCTCTAAGAAAATATTCTTACATCATGATACCCCTGTATATAAGTTCTTTAAAGTCATTAAAAAATGTTTTTAAAAGTTTTACTGTACTCATGTTCTATATAAAAGTCTTGCTTTTCTAATTCATTCTGTGCAGCTTTTTAAACATCCTTGATTACAACAGAAAATGTTTTTTCTCCTCCTTATGTCAGGCGAGTTGCTTGTATTGCCATGGAGAAGACCAAACAGGAGCAACAGGCCAGCTGTACTTGGTTTGGAAAGAAAAAAAAGCAGTACAAAGACAAATATTTGGCAAAGCACAATGCAGGTATGAACAGAAAATGCAGGTATCTGTAACAGGTTACGTTTTTTGCAGTTTAAGCCTCGCCATTAATTGTTCGGCTGGCAGTATTATATAAACCTAATGAGTTACTTAGGAAAATATAAAGTAAAATTCTAATTATGCCAACATTACTCTGCTTGTTCATTGCTATTTAAGCATGGAGCTTAGTCAGTGAGAGGCAAGCTGCCACAAAAGCAGTGCATCATAGTATATCCTGATAGAGGCTTAGATTGTTTGGGGGTTTATGTTTAAAGCAGCATTAGAAACAAACAGGATATGATTTTTGCAACCTATATAACTGCACTGTGCTCTACAAAAACTGTTCTGTAGCATCCTTGTTAATATGTATTTATAGTTACAGATTACTTGTGTGGAAACATCATGAAAGAGCATTTTTGTTGGAGTGGTACAGCTGGAAATGGAATGAGAGCCATTGCATAGTCAGTGTGTTATTTACAGTTACCAAATAGAACCAGCTGTGGAGGTTTATCCTCCTTCCAGTGATTTCTGCCTGAATCCTGAGTTTGGGGTTTCTGTTTAGAGTGCTGAAAAAATGACTTGTTTTAGAAAATTTCAGAAGTGTAGAGTAAGAGATGCTTGTCAAGCAAAAGTCATTCGTTTTAGTAGTAAAGAAGACAGACCCTGTCATTTTTGAGCTGAATTTGCTTCTTTTCTTCTTTTAATATAAAATACTTAATGTGCTGAAACTGCTTTTCAACACCTTTCTGTTGCTCCTGCTTTGGTAGCACATTCTGTGTTGCTTATGTTTTTCTGGCCTCCTGAGAGACTTGCAGAGATTTTTATTAGAATCAGAGCAGATACCTGTCCAAGCAGTGTAATGAAAGTATTCTATATTACATTAATTTCTGGGGTTTTTTTTCAGTTGCATTGAACACAGTAATTAAACAATACAAATCCATACTTTCAGGTATTTCTCTTTACATGCACAATGTGTGCAGGATCAGAGCTCATAATGTGTCACTATTACAGAATATGTGTTTCCTTAAAAGTAATTTGAAAGTAAATTCTAAGAAAGCCTAAATTCTAAGACAGTAATTGTTGTTTATACTCTTTAAATTCACTGTTGCATTTAAGATGTTCACAGGTGAATATAAAATTATTTGTTACCCTGAAAGCTCTCACAAGCAGAGATTGAAACTTTAAGCAGGTTCCTTCCCTTTGCTGCTGTAACACCGTGCTTGTTCTAATGTTTCCCCCTCATTGCAGTAGCACTCAACCACATTTTAATAATTACAACAAAAACTGTTGAGAGTAAACTGGATTTTATGAGCCAAAGCCTTTCACAATACTGGTATCAATTGCTCCCAGCACACATTCCCACAGCCTTGCTCCTCCCTTCACTTGTGGCCATGCTGTGAACTGGATCAAGAACAACCCAAAAAAAACCATGGATTTTTTTTCTTTAGGGTAGATACATTTCTTAATGTATCTCTCAGTGCAAATACAGAACTAAAAATGTCTTGTGAGTAAGCAAGGCCTGCTACAAGGGAGTGAGCTAAAGGAAGGACAGCCAGGGAAGGAGGAGGAGCAGGCAGAACTGTAGGAGCAGAACTGGTTCAGAGATTTTCTATCAGGTAAATTCCTGAAAGGAATGTAGACTTTGCAGTCTTGGCATAGGGGCACATTTCAGAGTAGGTTGATGGCACTTTGATTCACACAGTTCACCTGCCTTCACCAGCAGTGTTATAGCTTTATTTGCTTTATATCAGAGCAGGTGTTTGCCAAGAATTAGAAATACCAACATTAAAAATTATGATAATGACCATAAAAGAAACTGTTCCCTTTAGAACAGAGCTTCCCCATTCCCCTAAGTCAAAAAGTTAATGTAAGTAGAGATTGAAATCAAGATTTCTTGTAGAAATGTTACTGATATTAGTGTCCCTGTGGTACTGAAGGTGATGTCGGTAATATTCCAGGGAATGACACCAAATATTCAGTATATGAATATTATTAATTGCTTTGGTGGTCATGTGGATTCAGGTTTAACTGAGGTGGTACTGAATTCTCTGAAGTGCTCTGTCACATCCAGGATTGTTGGTCAGAAACATGGCAGCACTGGCCCTTGCAACCTTGCAAGGTTCCTTCTGTTTCAGAATAAAAACCAGATCTTTTCTTCTGCTGGATCCAAACAAGTATAATCATTGTCAAAATGTTGCTCTTAGAGGAAAGTGGAATTTATTTCTCTTTTATCTGAGTATAAAACTAAATCAATTGATCAGTATAAAACTGATTGATTACATCAAATGTAATCTATTTGGACTTGTGTGTTATTTTTCTCTTAGGGGTGAGGCTGAACTGGGGTGCTGAGAAATGACCCAGTAAAATAATTCACAGTCAACTCAGATTTGTGTGGCCAGCTGATGATGTGAGGTCTGGTGTGGCATATTGGGATATTACTGGAAGTAGAAATGAGATTATTCTGAAAACCAGATGTAGTTTATGAAGTAAACAAGAGATTATTTCAGTTACTTTTTAGAATCAGAAGCAAATACATTCTCCTTTGCAAGAAAAATGTAATCCTGTTGTTCTTTCCTCCATGCTTCATGTTAGAGTATTAGACAATTTCATGATCATATGTTTTATCAGTATAAAGTCAGTTTTAAACCAAAGCCCACAGAAAAAATGAAATATCTTTTCCATTATTAGATTCACTGACATTTTTATAAATGCTCTAGAGATGTGCTGCAGTGATATCTAGATACATTTTTTATTTATTTTGCTGAAAAGTTACTGCAGGGCTTCAGAAAAGAGCAGAACATACCAGAACTATGCTCCATATTATGCATAATGTAGAAAATTGCCAAGCTTTTATAAAATATGTTTATCATTTCTTAATGTGATTTATTTGCCTTGTGTTTAGACTACTGCATGGTAAAGTTTATTTTGTGCATATACTTTTTATTTTACTAATATATTACAAGCCATATCTCAATGACCCCTGTACATTTTTCATGCTGTCTTACTCCCAATGGCCTCTGTGCATGTAAGTAACCTGTCAAGTGACAATGCCTCTTTATTTGCTTCTTACTGTTTCCTTTCAAGAACTCCTTTTCTTTTATCAGCTAGTAACACAGAAGCATTGAAGTTCAGTCTTTAAGTGTGCCCTGTATTCCTCCTATCTTTGTATATTAAGGAATTAATCATTTTTCTTTTGCATTCGAGAACCCCACAATCATTAGTTAAATCCATGTAGACTGAGACACATCTTCTCCATGCCACTACTTTGTGATGAAGGCATTAATATGTGTCATTTCTGGTGTTTGTTCCTGTTGTTTGTATCTAACATGACGTGGTTTTGTTCAAGAAGAAAATAAAGGATTGATTTCTTTTTTTAATTATTATTTTTCAATGGAAAAAGACACCTGCAGGCTTAGGTGGTTAGCATGGTAAAGCTGTTTAGTGTGTTGTAGATCATTATTATGAAATGAATTATTGATTTGTTTAAATAATGTGAAGTTACAGAAAGGACAAGAGTAAGAATTCCATTGTGGAACGGAAAAAAAATATGACTAAATTTTTCTTGTAGTATTTGGGGAAAGGTTGAAAGAGATTCTTCTTTAGGATGAAATTCAAAATGCTTCAAATGGGCTAGGAAGTTTTCATATCTGTATCTTTTCAAGACCTTAAAGAGTTGAATGTGTTAATTGGCTGATTTGTAGTTTCACCAAATTGAAGCCATTGGACTTCCTCAGGTAAAAAGTCTGCCATCAAACTGAAAAACTGATAGCCACACTCATCCTAAAAGATGGATTGGATATAGCTGAGGTGGACACACCACTTAAGACTTGGAAACACTCAGAGAGATATTCCATAGTTTGGATGGAGTCTTTCCTGCCTCCTTTTCATAGCATCAAAAATACAGAACTGAAAACTCTTGTTTGTTATTCTGCTCCACAATTGCTGGTTGCTGCAGTCTTTACAAATACAAATAACTGCCTCCTGCCTGCTTCTGTCATTAGAATTCAGCAGGAGTTACCAGAGGTGTTGTGTTACTGGGCACAGGAGGAATAAGCTGTTACTAATGATCAAAAATTCATGTGTCAATCACGATATTCCCTGGCAATTGACAACAGATTGATAGGCATGATGGAATTCATCCAATTTCAACTGCAGTTGAAATGATATCTGAAATAATACTTTTACAATTTTTCCCTAAATATGCTGGAGGTTCTTTTCTGTAATGCCATCACTTTTCATTAGAATTCTTCATTCTGTCACAAGTTTTAAAAGCATGTCGGTTTAATTAGCACGTGTGTTTAAAGAGAACTCTAATTACAAGTAAGTGGTGTGGTTTGAAAGAATAAATACCACAAAGTATTAACACTCTGTGTTTCTCATAGATCTTGTTAAAACATTATTATGGAAGTATCCCTATCTTCAGTGTAAATAGATGTTCTCATATTGTATTCATGTCGGTCACTGTCCACAAATTTTTCTTTAGTATTGCTATTTCTTAGGAATGCAAATGTGAATGGCATGCTGTTCTAGCTGATTTTTGTGTCTGCTGAACACTGCATGAAAGGACATGCGAACTTTGCTGAGCATCTCGGTAGCTTTGTTACTGCTCTTAACAGTTTCTTAAATGAACACTCTTGTTAAAATTGCATAAGGAATGAATGGTTTTATTTTCCATAACATGTTACTTTGTATTAAAAATCTAAATCTTGATAAAACTACAATTTGTAGCAGAATTAGTTGTCACCATTCATATGCCTTTTTTTCTTACGCTTTGGGGCTTTCTTTTGTGTTTTAGTGTTTGATCAATTAGATCTCGTCACATATGAAGAAGTAGTAAAGCTGCCAGCATTCAAAAGGAAAACACTAGTCCTACTAGGTAATTTTCAGTTATTTTTCTGAACATAGCATCACAGCTTTAAAGCCCTTCTGGTGGAATATATCTAAATGATTTTTTTGTTTTGACTCAGGTGCCCACGGTGTCGGCAGAAGACACATAAAAAACACACTCATCACAAAACATCCGGACAGATTTGCTTACCCCATTCCTCGTAAGTAGCAGGGCTCAATGTGCTCCAGAATTGTTTGTGTCCTCCTTGACAGCACCTCCCTTGTTCTACTGCCTGTGTTCAGCTCAGCTGAGACAAATCCTGCCTTGAAGGTGGGAGCTGTGTAGGACTGAGTGTGTTTCTTTTGCTTTTTCATTTTTTCTTTTTCATTTTCTTTTGCTTTTGTATCAAATGTTCCTTATTATTCACAAAACTTCTTGTTAGACATACTTCTCTCTACCCCAAATGTTTGTTAATGTAGAATGAAGGATAAAAGTTTCCTCATTTTTAACTGTGTATAGAGTTGGATTTAGAGGGAGCCTGTAGTGTTTTAATTACTTCACACAGGCAAGTCTTAATGACTGGTATTGCACTAAAATAGTTTCAAGTTTCCAGAGGTGACACTAAGTTAAAGAAAACACAATTAATTTCACTGCTTGCCAGTGGGTTGGTTTGAAGAGCACAGAGGTGGTTTTCCTTTATGACCAACCTATGAATACCCTGCAGGAACTGCAGATCCATTACATGGTCCCTTGGAGATGCATCCTTTTTCCTCAAGCTGAGCACACCAAAACAAGAGCATCCAGCCCCTACCTGTCCACTCCATTTCAGACTGACCTCAGAAATGCCATACATGGCTCACAAGTGACACTAATTTAATTTTCTTCACAGAAACTAGTGATTTTATCTGCAGATGCTTTTAAAATGGACTCACCTATACCATGGTGAGCATGCCTTAGGTTGCCTGCATTAGGTTCCTGCTCTGTGGAAGCACTGAAATTGTTTCACTGATTTTATAAAACTAAAAAGATGCATTTTCTGCACTCCCTTACAAAACATAGTGTAGTAGGTAGCTTTTGAGATGGGCCTTAAATTGGGTGAGGAGTTTGGAAGAATGCTTTATGAAGAAATTACCTGCATACTGAAAACCTGATGAAAAATATCAGGTCACACACAATGGAGTTAATTCTAAAGATTAGTAGGCTGTACTTCTCTGATCACATAAGTCTGTAGAAGCAGTATTCAAGAAGTGTGTTATTTCTGAGTAGCTTTTACCTCTCTTGACCACAAGTAATCAGATTTTAAAACTGCTTTTTAGACTTGTCTTTTTCACTCATAAAAACTTATATTAAAAAAAAAGAAAATGCAGAAATGTTTTTAGGACAGAAGGGGATTTAGGAGAAATATGAGTATCTTAGGTTCAGTAGACCCTAGGGACTCTACTGCTGCTTTTCCCAACACATATCCCTCAAACTCCTGCTTTTCCCAGTGTCTGTCAATCTGACTGCCTCATCTTCATTCCTCTGTGTGTGATCTGACAGGTCATTGTTCAGTGAATAGGTATTGATGAACAAACAGAAAAAAGAAGCCACATATAACCTTAATATTGCTTCTGTACTAAAGTATTTTGTATTTTCAGACACAACCAGACCTCCAAAGAAAGATGAAGAAAATGGCAAAAATTACTACTTTGTATCACATGACCAAATGATGCAGGATATATCAAACAATGAATATTTGGAATATGGCAGCCATGAGGATGCAATGTATGGGACAAAACTGGAAACAATACGAAAGATCCATGAGCAGGGACTAATTGCAATACTTGATGTAGAACCTCAGGTAACTAATTAAAAGTGTATAAAAATGGGACTCATCACAAATCCTTCAACCTTGTTTCGTTGAAATGTTTTTATTGATTGCACACTAGGTAAGTGGTGCATAAGGTGATGTGAAACAGAAGTCCTTGAACCTCCAGGATATCAATCTGTGGAATTCTGGTAATCATATCATTCAAAGAATACAGAGGAGAAAGAAAAATCAGGCCCACAAGAAACACTAATAGTTTATTTATTCATTGTAGGAAATCTGTGGAAAATTCTGATACATTTCCTCTGAAACATCTGTAGTCATTACTTTCAATTCACAGGAATCTGTTTATATATTTTGTTACGTGAAACAAGATGAATATAGACAATTGTGATGTTCATATTATTCTAGCAGATGGAAGGAAATGGGAGGAAGGACAAAATTGTGACCAGTGTTATCTACTTAAATTTGCTGACTTATTTCTTCTTTGTGAATGGATTGAGGAAGTTCAAATTTTTCTAAGAATTTCACAACAGAAATGAGATACCTGACTAAATTATTTAAGAGAGTTCAGAGTGTGATGGTGTTCTTAAAAATAAAATCCCACATTTAACAGTGTTCAGGGAGAGCAGCATTTATAATTAGTTCAAATGGAACAGCTGTTAACAGCAAACTCTCTTGATAAACTTTTTCAACATGAATTATTCAAGAGCTGTACAATTCTCAGAAGAGATTTTAATCTTTGTTAGACTATATTTACATTTGGTAACAGCTGCCTTTGCCACATTTCCTGCAGCTCATGTCCAGCAAGCCACTTTGCTAACCAGCTTCCTCATTCACCCATCTCAGCTCACTGAGGCCAACCTGTTTGTGGATCTATTCCTGGTTGTCTTACACCCCTTGCCTGTTCTCCCTTGGGCACTCTTATGGATTTTCTTGCATTTCAGTTATGGGGTTTGCCTCTTGTTTGGAGCAGGTTGGCAGAGGTGATTCCTGCTGGTGGCAGCAGAGAGAAAACCTTTCAGCTCAAGTAAAGGGTGGATTATGGGGTTTGTTTTGTTGGTTTCTTTAAAAAGAAAAAGCTGTGGAGAAGACAGGAAATGGAAAGAGCAAACCCAGAGTGACCTTTAGCAGTCTGACTTTATCTTGTCTGTCCCTTTGAGGTCAGCTGAGGTGTTTAACCCACTGTCCTGCCCTTCAGTGCAGCCCAGGTCTGTGACAGAGTGTCACATATGGCAGCTCTGTGTCACTCAGTTCATTAAGGCAACTCTTTAATGAGAACTCTTCTCTTTTGCACAGATTTGACTCAGGAGATTGGAGCTGTATTTATTACATTTAGTGCTATGCTCAATTTTTGAACACTTCAAATTTCTCACATCACATTTTCATTTTTTTTAAATAATAATTTTATAATAATAAAATTTATACGCTAATCAATATTCTAAAACACAGTTGGCTCTTTTCCCTATCTATGGCATAACTGAATTTTTTTACATGGCATTTCATCAGTCAGTTTAAATGTAAACAGAAATCCACACTCTTTGAGACTGTATGGGGAGAGGCACTCTGAAAATGCTTTTACTGAAAGCTCTGAAAAAGCTGTCTCAAAAACTCACTTTGATTAAGGATAAATACATGTTTGGACCACCAAAAATATAAATAAGTGTCTGTATTACTAAGGTCTTGACTCCAATTCAGTTAAAACAAATCCAGCATTGGTAGATCATGAATTTGTGTCTTTTTCTTGTGTGACTAAACTTACTTCACATTGATTGTTGGAGATTTCCTCTAAAGTATCTGATTTTCTTTTTCCCCTAGGCATTGAAGGTCCTGAGAACTGCAGAGTTTGCTCCTTTTGTTGTTTTTATTGCTGCACCTACGATTACCCCAGGCATTAATGAGGTATGGCACGTTGCAATCTGATGTCCTGGCAGAGACAGAATTAATTACTAGATTCAAATGTGCAAATCAGACTCTTCAATTGTTTCCCTGTCTGTAAATGAAGAGGCAGAAAAATAATTGAATACCAGCTTTATTAAGTTGATTGACATACATTTATTCTTTATGAAACATTAGCTCAAAATGTGGGCTTCAAGAGGAAGGATCCATGTGCTGTATGCTAAAAGTACATATTCTTATATTTCATTCTCTGCTCCAGCTCAAAGATCCATTTCCAAATCATTGGCACAAATTACTCAGTTGTGAGTTGCAATGCCAGCACTGATCCCACCTTTAGCTTTAGCATTTTCCCTGCACAGCAAATATGTATCAGAAATAACCTTGTTCATTTTGATAACTGTCCTCTAAGAACTGGAATCTTTGACCCCAGAGGTAATTGTTTGTGGAATGATGCTGAGTATTCCTGGAGGTGCACATCATCCATTTCCTACTTCGTTTCTGTAGGGTATCTGCTCTGCAGATTGCTGCTGATGTCAAGGATGCCCAGCAATTCTGGATTTAGCTGACACTCACACAAATTCCATTTTCACAAACACTTAATTTGCTCAGTCTTCCTTAAACCATGATATTAAATATTTAATCTGTTTGATTTGATAATGAATCTGTTCCAAATATCCTAGATGTCTCCTTGATCATCAAAACACCAAGTCAGAAGCCATGTCACTACAGCAGGTTTCTATAGAAATGTAATTTCAATATCATAAGCATGAAGCTGTGACATCACTGCAGAGGCTTGCAGGAAAGGAAGGAGCCAGAAAAGCACATTTAAATGCAAATAACCTGAATGATTATTCAAATCAAAAGTGGAAAGTGAAGAATTTTGGCCTCAAGCTGGAATTTTACTGACAGCTGAGGCATTTTGCTAGTTCACTATGATGCTTTAGTGAGCTACTTTAGCTCTAAATTGGAGTTTTGTCCATTTTTAAGCACCAGTACTAGAACAAGCAGTGAAAGAGGGACAGGAGGGGGAAGAAGGCTCTGTTCACTTTTACAGCATTAAGTTCTGTCATTTCACTGTGTGACCTACCCCCTAATGGTACAACCCAAGAGTGTAAAAACAAAGATCTCTCAGCACAGCAGAACTTGCCGTGTTAGTGAAGTGACACTTCATGTAACTGCTGGTGTGATGCTGTGAATCAGTACAGTCTGGATGAAATACTAGAATTTTGTCATCTACACTGAATTTTCCTTTGTGTAAACAAATAGCATTGCATCAGGTACCCTGTAAAATTACATAATTGCTCTGGCTTGTTGCCTCCATACCTGCCTCAGCTCCCAGACAGTCTTTCCTTGGCCTCACTCATCTGCCAGTGGTACTTAAATTTTAATCTTCCAGTTAGGATGTAATACAGAGATACCTGGGACTGTTCATGTGAGGGGGAAAACATTTTCCCTCATACACTGGGAGGAAAACAGAAATGTGCCTTTTACAGTAGTGGTGGGGAAGTACTTCATGCCAAAGAATTAGTAGAAGTAAAATATTGTGTTGGTGCTGTAAAACCTGTTTTAAGTTCCTGTGACAAAAGTTTCTGTGCCCACAGGGTTTCACCCAGGCACATGAATTGCTGAGCCAAGGCCACACTTACAAAACATGCTAATTTATTAATCAATTAAAGCTAAGGAAAGGGAGGGGCAGGCAATGGTAATAGCTGCAGCCCTACCCAAACACAGGATTCTGTTTGCCAAGGTTTTCTGAGCAGATAAGAAAAGTGTGTCTGTGTGTAGCAGCCTGCAGGGCAGCAAACAAGGGTGAGGAGTGTGTGTTTCCTATTTCCCATTCATGCTTCCTTTTTGAAAGGTTCATTTGCATAATGATTGTCCCTTTCTGTTGGTCCTCTTGCCCTGCCTTGTTTTATTTTACTTGCACTTTTTGAGAACACTTCTGTAATGACTGTCCTTTTTTCCCCTTCCCATGTTTTCTTAAAATTCATCTTTGCTTTTCTTTTCATTTTCCTGCATTCGTACTAATTGTACATAGCTGCCAAAATGGTGCAGAAAACTGCCTGTAAGTACCAGCTAGGGGCTCACAAGGTAGTCCTGGTTATTGCAGTAGTTCTAGAATGTAGACATGCTTGTTCCCATTCAACTTCACATTTTGCTGTTGAAGTCAAAATTTAATATAATAATGATTTTTGATATCTGCACTAAAATTATCTGCTAGTGAAAAGAGAAGCTATGGAGTAAAAATTCTACTCTTACAGATGTATATCTGAGCTTAAAACCAGTGCAGAGGCCTGATCCTGACAATGTCTCTCTTGGAGTAATTTATCCTGTCAAAGACCAAACAAAATGTCTCAGTAACTGAGGTCCACACAGCAAGAGTCAGGAGACAAAATATTATCCTTTCCAGTGGATATAGCCATGCACCCTGAGCAGTCCTGCAAAGCACAAGACCAAATGTAAATCATACAGGCAATCTCCCAGAGTGCCCCCACCTGTCTAATCCCAGAGGAGGCTTAAATCTGATGCTGGTTGTGCTAAAACAGAGGAGAGAGTGCATCAGGGAAACCTTGGGGTAGCTCCTCTTTCCTCCAGCTGTTCCTACCTCCTTCGCCAGACAGCAGCAAAGAGATCACAGCCTCCATTTGTTTGATGTACACCTTATTGAGCCAAATTCTTCAGATTTTTAGCTGTGCTTCCTCCCTTCCTACAGCCAAAGGAATTTTTATTTTTTTTTAGGAAGTGTGGAGCCCACCAGCTGTTTAAATTGTGAATTTCTTTCTGTTGAAGCAAAACTGGCAAAGGCCTGATGGTGTTTACACATTGTCCACAGCCTCAGAAGGGAATATTAGTAATTTTTTGGGCTGGGCTTTAATTGCCACAAGTGGCAGCTGTTGTTCTATGTACTTTCAGGCTAAAAAAACCCAGCCCTCAGAGACTGAAGATGCCACTGGTGGCCTTTGTGTACCTGGGGTATTTAATGGGCAAAGCCATGTTTCACTCCTTCCAGCTGTGGTGGAAAAGGAGATTAGGAAAGTGAATTGAATTAGGAAGAAGAAGTCTGATCCAGTAATGGACACACTGCAACTAGACCCACATTAGATTCCTATTGCACAAGAGCTGAGGGAAGAAGGAAATGCAGATGTTGTGCTCCCAAATGTTAATTTCTGAAGTTGTGGCCATTCATTTGTCTGCAGTTTACTGAACATTTTGATAAATATCTTCTTTCTTGACACTGTTGAGAGCACAACTGCTGAAAAATTTCCTTCTTGGAACATAAGCTGGGATATTGAATATGCAAAATTTAATTAAGACATTTTAGAGAAATTGAGAGGAACTTACTGCAGCAAATACTTTGATTACAGCTAGCTTCAAAGATGAATTTTGATATTTAAGTCTTGCAGACTCAGAGAAAACAGCCAAGTCTGACATGTACAAATAGATACTCTATCACAAACACAGGCAAAAGTTAGTCCAAGAATGAAACAAAAATCAAGAGCTTTGATCTCTTTTCCTTTTGCTGAGCTTAGGAAAGTTTGAACCTATTTGAAACTTATTGCAATGGCCTATCCCAAACTTCCTGCTGCCCATTAAAGTATATGAAAGAAGTAATGGTTTACATTTCCAGCAGGCTTGGAAATTTAGATATTCCAAAATAAAGACCACTTTGATCCCAGTAAGCTGGATCTAGGAGAAGCTGAGTCAGAATAATACTGAAATTGAATGAATTTTTGAAACACTTAGTTTTGTAGAACCTTTGTGTGTGCAAGGTAAACTTTACCAGTTCACTTTTTTTAAAATGAGGTAGCTCATTTTAGAGATAGCTCAAAATGAGTAAGATTTTCAGATTTTCATTGTCAGTCACAGTAGGATAGATGCTTGAGTGAGAAGAGTCCATATCTGTAGGTAAAAGTAACATTGATGGGAAATCTGAATAATAATTCAAAACCTGCATAAGGACTTAACAGTTGTAGGGCTTCCAGGGGCTTCTCAGGTACTGTTAGCCCTCTGTCATGAGATCAAAACTCTTTTCAAGGTGCGCTATGATTTGGACAAGACAGACTATAAATACAAAATTAATCTTAGCTGGAAACATGTAAAGCATTGAAAATAGTCTGCATGACAAGTTACTGACCTTCCTTTGTAGGTTAATTTAAGCAGGAAAGGTTTGATGCTTAGCTGATACAAATTGATGTCTCTTTTGGAATCTCTGAGAAGTTGGAAGTTCATCTAACTAGGGTTTTGGCTTAAAGACACAGGGCCATATGAAATATTCCACAAAAATATTTCATACTAGTGTTGATCCACATTGTTCTCTTTATTAATAGCATAAATGAAATTTGGAAACACTGGAATTTTCTACAGAAGTTCCAGGAGTTGCTGGTGGTGCAAAATGACCCATACAGGGAACATCCCTTGTACAGAAATGCATGTGAGGGGTATCTGCCTGACTTGGAAGGAAATTTGTAATGATTTTCAAGTGAAGACAACCACACCACACAGCCCCCTCCCCATCTGTGGCTGCAGCTTCAGGAGAGAAGCAGAACTGTAACTCTGGCAGACAACTTCTCCTCCAGAAGTGGCTGGTTTCGTTGCTGCAGGGAAGGAGAACTCTCTCAGAGCAGGTTGTTTCCTTGAGGGGACCTGAAAGCTGTTGTTCCACAGCTACTTGTCACTGTAGTTACAAATACTTGGGAAGCTGAAACAGAAACAAATAAAGGTGGAGGTCATCTTAACAGCTAGATAAAAATATTTCCATGATAATTTCTAGTGACTGTGGGCACTGTGTCTGTACTTCTGCAGCCTAAAACTCTGTTTAGCAAAGTGTATCCCAGCTGATTGATCAAGCAGAGTCAGCCTATGGATGCTGCAGAGCAGCAGCAGTCACTTTGCACCAAATCCACCCCAAACCTGTGGGACAGGAAAGACTTGTTTGCTTTCCTGTGGCTATTTCAAGGTTCCTGAAAACAGCAAATTAGTTTGTTGGGTTTTTTTAATTCATAAGGAAATTTTCAGGAAGATAATTCAAATTTATAATTGCTGCAGAGCCCTGGGAAGAAGCCTTTTGCATCCAGCTGCCTCAGGCAGGCAGACCTCACTAACACAGGTCTGATGTCCAGGCTGCCTGGTTCATCTCCAGGATCTCCCACTGAGAGGGGCTGGAAATCCCTGCTCTGAGACAGAAACCACAGAGCAGTGATGTTTAGTGAGAACTTCCTTCTTAGTAAATTGTCTTTAAAGGAAGCAGACCCAGAGGATTGGTGTGGAACAGAAAACATTACCAAAAGTGGGAACAGCGGATGCCTGACAGCCTCTCCCCCTCCTCCCTTTTCTCACGCTCTCACTGGGACATAGGCCCAATAGCTCTTAGTTGTGCACCAGGTCTGATCTATTCACATGTGGTCTCCATTGCTGCTTTTCCAAGCTTCCATCCTCTACCTTGCTTTTTTAACTCTAGAGCTGTGTTTTGTCTCCAAGAACGTCAATAACCGAGTGCTATTTGAGTGTCAGCTTCCAGAGGGAAGCTGTGCCCTTTCTCCCATGTGATTCCCATAGCTGTAGGTGGGAGAGCTAAAGCACCTCGACTCCCTGAGGCCTTTTTGCCCATTTCCTTCTCAGCTGAGAAGCTGTTGTGGGAGAGCTCGAAAGAATCCAACTTTTCTTTTCTCCCCTTTTCTCTCCCGGCCGCCGCACAGGATGAATCCCTTCAGCGCCTGCAGAAGGAGTCTGAAATCTTACAGAGAACATATGCACACTACTTTGACCTAACAATTATCAACAATGAGATTGATGAAACCATCAGGCACCTGGAGGAAGCCATCGAGCTCGTGTGTACAGCCTCCCAGTGGGTCCCGGTCTCCTGGGTCTACTAGACCGGGAATGAGAGAATTGAGGAGAAAGAAAAAAATAATCTGTCATTACTGGGAACCACCTCATACATGGAAAACCTCTTCGTTATTGACCTTGTGTCAACAGGTCTTGGCCCCTAGAGACTACCTAGATGTAGTGTGACCTAAAATATAATTATTGTCATGTCCGAATAGATAGGAGGAGGGGAAAAAAAGATGAAACACTAATTTAAAGAGACAGTATCTTTTTTTTTAATCATTTCTCCTAAACTTTTAATAAAATGTATCTTTAAATATATGTACTATTCAGTCTTTTGGAATGTTATATTTTTGGAAATCATAGCTTTTTATTTCAAGGGCCCCTAAAAACTGCACAAAATAGATGCTGCTTTCTATAATCTATTTTAATAGTAATAATAATATGATTCTGTTACCTTAACTTGGGGGTGGAACACTACATTCTTTTTAGAGTCTGATTTTATGGATTGGAATACTTTGCTTTCCTTTATTTATTTGAAGTAATTAGTCTAGTGGTTACAAAACAAATTCATAAATTTTAAAGGCCTTTTTTTTTTCATGCTTTTTTTTTCTCTCCTAGGATAGTATTTTTAAGTACTTTTGTGTAACATCCAGATAATGTGATACTGTCTCTTTGAAGAACTCTGTAAAAGTTTTAGAAATTTGAAATTGGGTCTTGACTCTTAATGCATGTGGACAGTCGCAAGCGTTCATGCCGTTGGTGTATCTGTGTTGATAAAACCTGTAATCTACAGCAAAGTACATTCCGTTCATGGGAACACGTACCCAAGGGAATAAAGCAAAATATTATTCTGACTAAGTTGTAAACCTATGCACATCCCTTGCATTTTGGGCAACTTTCTAAAAAAAAAGAAAAAAAAAAAAGAAAAACTGATTTTTATTAATAATAATCATGTAGTGAAATGTGTTTGTAATTTTGTCTCAATTTAATTTGTTGTAAGGTGGGAGGGGGCAATTACTGGTTTCACCATTTCAGATCTGTGTTGTCTGAGAGTATTAACGTTTTAATTAAGTTGAAGCAAAGAAATGCTGATTTTTAATATGTATGTAATTGTTTAAAGATGCACACATTTTAAAAGAAAATACTGTGCAATGAAGAAACCAGTTTAGACATTGCGATAAACTGACTATTCCAAAAGACTCATCTACAACAGCCCTGTAAATTCCTTTAAAATGGTAATTGACTCTACAGTCTGACCAATTTTTTTTTTATTTTAAATATACTTCCTTTTATGTGTTCAACAATTAAATGCTTTTGGGTCCTTCATTTCATCACAGGGAGTTTCAAGAGCAAATCAGTGACTCGTGCAGTGAGGGAAAGTGTCTTAAAGTCTTTAAGGGAAGCCTTTGTAGGGACACAGCCTGCAGCCTGCTCCCAGGGGCTCTGCTCCTCCTGGATCAGCACAGGCTTCCTTCCACAAAGCTGGAATTTGGGCAGAGCCAACTAAGAAGGTGTAACCATGGATGGACCTGGCGCTTCATTTTCCTTCTTCGTGCTCTTGCTGGCCCACGTGATTTGCATTTTCTCTGAAAATGGTTGAAGGCAGCAGGCATTGCCACCTCTTTTTAGGTGTCAGAAGCACATTGTTCCTTAAAATGACTTCTCCTCAAAGGAAAAAAGAGCCTCTGTTGGCTGTGCTGTTGTATAGTATGAATTTTAGTGTTTATATTAAAATGATACAGCGATCCAGGATTTTTCCTCACAGTGGAACTTGCAGCTGGAGTTGGTCTCTGGGCTGTTGCAGTTGTTTGGGACCATTGCACGTGCAATCAGAAAAGGGTTCTCAAGGTTGCATGTTTCTCATAAGGGTAATCCTGTTGCTAATTTTCTCCTGCCTACTCCTTCTGCAGGTTGGGTGGTCAAATCTGTTTACAATTCTTCTAAATTCCACAGCTGAAATCTCAGTCTGGCTGTGCCTCCAGCTTGAAGCCCACAGAAGGGAAATTCATCCATCACTTTAGCCTGCCTGCTGAGTGCCCTTAGTGCCACAGCTGGAATCACAGTTCTGTGGCTGCATCCCAAAACAAGAGCTGTACCTGAGTCCCTTGAGTTTGTGGTTTTGTGGGAAGGAATGGATGAGAGAGTCAGCGTGGGCCTCACGTGGAGGGAAACGAGGGAGCTGCCAGAGGAGCTGTAGGTGCTCATCTGTTCTGGGTTTAGCCCCCCAAGAAGGGGATGCTGCAAACTGTGAACTGTTTAGTGAGTAAGAGGTAATTTTCCAAGTGCTTGTGTTGTTTAGTCCTGGTGAAGCGTAGCTGGTGTCCTGTAGGCAGCTCTTGCAGTGGTGAGTCCACACTGGCTGAGCTCATGGAAGTGACAGGTTCATTCTCTCTCAGAACTACCTCTTTTCCCAGCAAAGCACAAAGATGGGAAGACCTACTGAAAATCAAGCAGTGGAGTGTTTCTGATGTTAGAAATACAAACTTCTCTGGTGAGCATTGGTGTCAGACTTCAGTGACACGTTTTTCATCTCAAATGTTTATGGCATTAAACAGGTAAAGTAATTTTGATAATTCGAGTATAGTCCATCATAAGTGTTTTAACTACACTTTTGACTCTGTTAATGTGAATTTCTTGGAGTTCTGTGTATCCAGCTTGTAAGGGAAAGAAATCTCACAAGGCCCATGAGGGAGCTTCTGCCTTATGTAGATGACAATAAGTAGTGATTTGGTGTATCTAATAACTTTTCTTCTCTTAAGTGGAACTGCCATTCAGTTAATGCTACACAGTAGAAAGATTGACCTGGAGAGCTTTGTTTCTTTTATTCTCACTGTATAACCTTTTATCGAGAGACAAAAACTGTAAAGCACACACTTAGCATCCTGTCTCGCCTCCTCTTTACCACAGTCTGTTTTCCTTGTAGGAACCTTCAGTAGCAAAAGATTAAATTGGAAACCCTGCCTAGGCTTTAGGTTCAGCAGATCCACAGCACACAGTGAGCTCCATGAGCAGATTTCAGCACAGTCCCAGACAGAGCAAGCCCAGGACTCCTCAGTCTGTCCAGTCCTCCCACCCTGTTCAAACCCTTCTGAACATTTCTGTTGTTTGCGTGGTACACAGAGAGCAAAATTCTGCAGAAATTGAGCTGGAAGCTTCACCTGCATAGGGAAGGCTCATGCAGATGCAAAGCTGATGTTACAGTTTGTTGTTTTTTCAGTCTCCAAGTGGAGAAGGGTCCTCCTGGTACTGTAAATATCACTGCATAATTTGGAGCACCACATGGACTTCTCTAAATTTATGCTGAATGTGACCTCAGAAGCAGCCCTGGGATTGGGAAGAAACAAATGTTTCTGTTTGCCCCTTTTATACTTTATTTTTGTACAGGGGCTCATAGATTTGTAAAGAAAACTTGATCTTATCAGTATGCTGCCTCTCAGTCTGACTGATGCCTATGATTTCAAGGTGTTAAGTTGGTCCAATAAATGTTCATCAACCTTTGCTTCCATTTACCTAATAAAAGTACACTAGGTTACTCAGTGTCTCAGAGTGGTAAGATTATTGCATGGAAATGGTAGCCTAGTTTAGGCTCCTGGCCACTGCCAGATGGACATTCTTAATCTCATCACTAAACCCAAATTCTTCCATGTGTTTTAGCAGTGGTTTTCTTTTTATATGGTTTGATCAAGAACAATGCTGTGCCACTCACCCCTAAAAGAAAACATCACTACCTACCTCAGAAACTATGAAGAAGGTTACTCAGTTGACTTGGAAAACACAACAAAGAAAAAGAGGTGTTGCAACCTGAGCAACATTGGGGTGGTGTGTATTCTCCAAAAACTGGGTACTAGAGCCACAAGAAAATTTAAAGCACAGACTAACCCGTAATTGTTCCATTTTTATTCTTTTCTATAAGGAAATTATTTTCAGAGTACTGTTACTTAAAGAAATACTTGGAAATGCTGCCAGAGCTTCCAGGGGTGCTTTGCAAATCTGCATTGCAATCCTAGATGCAAACAGGTCTGGCCCCCTTCTCTGCCACTGCAGATGGTATTCAACAACTTTAATGAAGGCTGTTAGAGCTCAGTTTCAGGCTTTAAAATACTTCATGGAAAAGGATTTTTGAAAACTACAGAAAAATATACCTATTTCCTGACTATTATAGTAAAGAGTTATCTGTTTTGTAAGCTCAATTGACAGAGAATGAGCTAAAGCAGGCACCATAAAAAGTCTGCTTCTTTACGTGAAGCATATTCATTTCCTTAATAGACCTGTCTCTCAGACTAATTTCTTCTCTACCTTTAATGAGCTCAGAGATAGTCATAGCTCTTACCAAGGAAACTGCTGCACATTATGTCAAATAGTCACATATAAATCAAAATATCTGCACAACAGGAAGCACGTCATTGACCAACAGAACAGAAGTAAATTCTGAATAATTGTGCCTCGTGTCTACACCATGGGGACGAGTGCACAAGCTTAGGATAGAGGAGACTATTTTTACTAATGCTGCATTAAAAAAAATACAAAGCCACTTCCCACATTTAAATGTTTGCAGTGTTTTGGGGTTTTTTGCTTGCTGATACAGTAAGTGCACCTATAGTAATTTCTACTTTTCTCCCCTTGAGTGATTTTTAACACTCTCCTGCTCTAATCCTGTGAAAGCTGGACTGAAGCAAGTACAAAAAGCTTCTTGACTCCTTACAATTTAGCCTCAGAGTTAAGCCTCTCTCAGACCTGTACATGAACAAATAATTAATTCTTACCTCAGAAATACATTTCTCAGTTAAGATTTTGGGCAGAAAGTTAATGGTTTCTCATGTAATCTTAAGCTTTCTAAGCAAAAACAGTGGGAGGGGGAGTGTTTATGCATTTTCATGCATCTTGCTGAATCTCTTAGCAACTGCAATGGGACAATCAAAAACATTAAATCTGGCCACATCTCTGTGTTCTTATTAAAATGTAGCCTGAGCCTACATTGGTGTTGTGGAAGATAACTGAACTAGTAGCTGTGTGCTTGAAAGAATTTGTCTTGAATATTAGCAAAGTAATACTTGCAAATTCTCCCTTAGCAGCAGCCATAGCTTGTTTTAGTGTCTGCATAATGGAAACACCCATGAGGAAGGGTGGAATTGGCTTATTTTTTTTGTGTAGCCCATCTCAAAGCTGGAATGTGAGTCTGTGTTTCTCCATTGGCCATCCAGGTGGAACCCTCAGCATTCTTCCCAGAATGTAAATAGATGCAAAATAGCAGAATTGCCTCATACTTGGTCTGTCTTTGTTGCCACCTGCTTCCCCACGCTGTTACATACTCCTACAAACTTGATTTTAAGGTGCATTTTCCTACCAGTCAGAAAATGTGGTTTATCCCTCAGTATTACTTAAAATACTCACTTAAAAGGTCTCTGAAGGTTCATGTTCATCTCAGGCAGAGGAAGCCCTCTGTGATCCATGGCACACACTGCAATGGTCTGGAATTCCAGTTTCCAGCAAGGAAAAGATGTTCCTGCCCTCTAAGGCAAAGCTCTGAAAGGGCTGAAACCCAAGAGGAGCAAGATCTTACAGTGACATTTCACTGCCAGCCTTTATGCCTTAATCCAGGGCTGTTTTAGCACATGGATGGGGAAAAAAAATCAGGGAAGGGTTTTTGGTTGGAGCTGCCATGGGTAAAGACAGACACTGTGGAAGAAACAGAGCAGGCAAAGAAAGGCAGAAGAGAAAGGAGAACACAAAGAGCACTAAGCTGAGAAGGTGCCACTCTGAAAACCAAAGTGGAATTTACTGAGACGGAAGGGGACAGAAATCAAGAATTCTGAAACTTTTATTTACTACCCAAAAACAATTTCCTCTGTGTGTGATAAACCTCCTCCTGAAAACAAGAGTCATCCAGCATGGTTTTCAGAAAGTGCTTGGTTTGAATGGATGTTGCAGGCTGCAGACACAAGGAAAAAGAAATGGTGTTTTTCCTCCTTTTCAACAGAGGACATGTGGGGCACCAGGAGAAAAGGGCAGTTTGTGTTCCCTCTTCAACAGGACGTGAAGAGGCAGAAAGGTCTCGTGGTCTGTAGCTGTTCCTTCAGTGATGTGAGCCTGTGGGAATCCTTAAAATCTGATCCCAGACTCCAGGGTCACATTCAGGGGCGCCTTCACGCAATGATCACTTGGTATTGAAGAGCAACGTGAATTAAAACCATTCAAAAAGTTGGTTTGATTTTGTGGTTATTTTGGATAGAGTTTTTTTGTTTGGTTTTTTGGGTTGTTGGGGTTTTTTGGGTTTTTTTTTTTTTTTGAGAAGCAAAGTATAACA